AGTATATCACATATTAGAGTTCTGTATTTAGACAGAATGGGTTTAGTGTTTAAGGTTTCATGTATATTTTTAACTTCTACATTTCAGATATTTTTTTGGTTGCCAAAATAAATTATTCACCAGACTAACAGGTCTCCTGTGATTCCCAAATCCCAGGGCCCAAATTACAAGTCAGATTTGAATCATCTGGATGGCTGCCCACTGTACCTCTAATGCTAAACTCAACATTTGTGGATAGGAAGACAAGTTTTCTTTAAAGTTAAATATTCCTTTTAAGGACACACATTTTGTTGTCTTTAGAATTATGTTATTCCAATGTTATGATGTAAGGGTTTACAGTGAAGATGAACAGGTAGGTAGGTAGGTAGGTAGGTAGGTAGGGAGGGAGGGAGGGAGGGAGGTAGATAGATAGATAGATAGATAGATAGATAGATAGATAGATGGTTTTTCATGTTCAATCATGTCCAATTCTCAGAGGCAACCCGGATAAGCCCCTACAGTTTTCTAGGCAACGTTTTTCAGAAGTGGTTTGCCATTGCATCTTTCCTAGTGCTGAGATAAAGTGAATGGCTCAAGGTTAATGTTTTCAGGGAACCCAGGAAAATTTAAATTACTGAAAATGGTTGCTTTGACTTCATTGCTTCAACAGTTCTAGTAATATAAATAAGAATTAATTATTTAAATGAGGGGGAAAACTTTTTGCATTTTTTAAAATCAGTTGAATTATTAAAACAATAAATATATTGTGCATTCAAAGGATTAATAATTCTATGAGGCACATTTCCTCATTTGTCCCTCCTACAGAATATCTGCAGAGTTTATTGAGATTTATATAATGTAAATTAAGATAGTCATTAAGGCATTTGCCTTATTTTATCACATTTTTCTGCAGTACTAGCCTAGAAGTTCCGTTTATCTATTTTTTAAATTATTTATTAATTTATTAAACTTACTGTATTTTCCCCAATCTCATTTTGAAATGACTCTGGGTGGCTTACAGATGTTGTTGTTTGTCTGCCAGAAACTAGGCATTTGGAGGTTAACTTCCCTCCCTATGAACCATCCTCATTGCTTCTCCCTCTTCTCCCATGCCCATTTAAAATTAAAGATGATTTTTTTGGGGGTCTTCCAAACTGTTTTGGATGGGCAGAAAGAAGCATTTGATAGTAACATGCTATCAGTTGCCCAGCACAGCATCTTGAATGGATCATAAGATTTAAGAAGGGAAGAGTAAGATGGTTCTTAGTAAAACTGCAACCACTAAAGCTTACTGGGAGTTTGAATATGTCTAAGTTATGTATATAAAGACACAAATAAAAATACAGTACTTAATACCTATGATGATAAATAAGGCATAGGACACAATCTGGTTTGAGAAATACCAGGTAATTATCACCAGAAAAGATAGTCATCAGAGGAGATGTTGTTCTTGTTTTCTGTATTGCATTGAAAAACCCAAGATCAGATTGGATCCAACACATGTTTTTTTTTCTAAACCATTATAGCCATTTCTCCAAGCGGATTGGATGATTCTTGCCTTGTTCAAAAAGCTAAGGATTGAAATTCAAATGTTGAATTACATTTGGCAATGTTTAAAATGGGAATTCAATTTTTGTTTCAAATTACAGATATCAACATTTGTTTAGAGAACTTGAGAAAATTTAAATTACTGAAAATGCTTGCTTTGACTTCATTGCTTCAACAGTTCTAGTAATACAAGTAGGAATTAATTATTTAAATAAGGGGAGAGAACATTTTGAATTTTTAAAAATCAGTTGAACAATTAAAACAATAACATGTATTGTGCATTCAATGGATTACTAACATTTTCACATATTTATTTTATTAAAACCTTGGGGTACTGATTTGGCTTTCTTATAAATATGGGAAAATAATTGCTTTTTAAATGTTTTTTTGCCTTTCCCTGGCTGGTTGGAAATTTGTAATAGCAGCAATGTATCTTCTGGCCTGAAAATAATTCAAGTTCCATCTTCTGATATAAGATAGATTCCAATATGCACATATCAGAGTTTATATACTGAGTATTACCTGCAAAGGAATCTTCATTTTTACAAACAATGTTTAAGGGAAGATCAAAGGTAAACAGAGAGAAAGAGTTCCCGAAGGCCATGTGCCTGTCCCTGACACTGACTGCTTTATGGAAACCATTAAAGACCATATTTCCCTCCAAGAAATTTGGTCTGAGAATGGTATGGCCTACTGAATAAGGATTTTTTTCCCTGACACTTCTGGTTTAAAACCCTGTTTTATTTTTTTTGGGGGGAGAGATTATGTTTTCGTATTTGTTTAAGTTTTTTTTGTTGTTGTTGTTATTTTGATGAAGTACACTACCATGTATCCTATGCTAAGAAAGGTGGCGGTAATCAATCAATAAGTCAATCAAGTTCTCAGCTGAATTTTTGGCCTAATTCTCATGAGACACATAACTCTACTTACAAGTTATACATCTATCTATTTAATTATTTTCAAGAAATTACACCCTGGAGATTGTAATATCTGGTCATGTAGGTTGAAAATTGAAATATAATGCAGCATAATTTATAATATATACCATTTGCATATGGGCTATTAGATATTGTATTCCTTCTTTATTGTGAATACCTTAACAGTGAATAGGCCCGTTCTTAGTTTAATTGAGTAGTTTATGCTAAATTTAAAGGAAAAGGAATTTATGGAACTATAGTACATTATAAAGAAGTTAATAAATAGGCTATCAAATACATAGTTAATGCAGACACCAGTAAATTAGTTCATTTGGAATTGTGCTCTGATGCAAACCATTTATTTCAACAAGACCACAGATGTAAGTATTCCTGCAGGAACTGAGTTCCCTTCTATCATTTTTTTAAGCAATAGAACTGACTGAACAATTGAGTTTCATCTTTCATCTTTTTAATATAATGTATATGGACATTTGTCAGAGAAATGAAATTCTAGTCTAAAATCCTTTTATCACAAGGATTGCCAAGAAAAAAAGAGGAAGGAAAACTTCCACTGAATGAACTGAGATCTCTTTGCTTAATGCCTGTCTAGCCTTTATTCCATAAACAGCTGTAAGCTACATGAAGTCTTAGCCAAATCAAAATTTCTTTAAAACAGCTATACTGTAAGAATTAGTCCTTTCATGTATTCAGAGGGATACAAAAGCAGAACATCCAGATTCAGCCAGAGTTTCATTCCATACAGCACTAACCTTGTGAACTCTCAAGCTTCCTCCTTCTGTTATATATTCAAGATGGACAATATTTAATATTTATTGCTACGTATATGTAGGGATGTGGGTCTATACATATGTTGTTCATAGTATGTTTAGGTTTGTGTCATGTATGTGTTTCACTTTGAGAACGGGCAACTAAATTTCATTTTTGATGTGTGCCATTGTGCCCACAATATAAAAATGACAATAAAGGTTATCTTATCTTATCTATCCTGTATGTTACACTTTATTAAAATAAATGTGAAAAGACCAAAGTGGAAAAAAAATTTCTTGCTTTCCCGATTTTTTTCTTGTCTCTCTTTTCTTTGATTTCCTGTTCTGATATTCAAAAATTATTAAAAGAGCCCCCCTTCCCCTATTCAAATGCTTATTTTCAATGAAGAACATTTTTGAGAAATGAACTCATAGATTCATTAAGCAGCTCTTCCAAGTTCAACCCCCATATGATTTGTACAGTAATGTCATTCCATTATATATTGCAGTGAATTAATATGAAAGCTACTCAGAAATTATTGTTTATTGATTAGGATATTTCAGTTGCCTATGTTTTCTATTAACTTTATGTAAATCACTTGTAGGCAGAGAAGATTAAAACAATTATTTTAAAAAAATCATTTGAAATATAAACCCTATTTGAAATCCTTTTGAAATCCTCATTAAAAGTATATGAGCAGAATTGTCCTTTTCATTAAGGCAGGTGTAAATGTTAGGTAATTTAATCCTGGCAGTAAATACATTTCAACTTATATTTAAGAATGCTTTGCTTAGCTAACAATCTGATATATGATTTTCTTAGGAATCATAAATCAAACTTACTATAAATATTGGTCAATATGAAATATACATTATGAAAGTTCTTTTCACTTGCAGAAAAATATAACATCATTTATAACAATATTTTTAATTAACCAATATGTATGCATATTTATCTTTTTATTCTATAAAGCTAGTAATTATTTTACTTCCACTGACCAAAATACTATACAAACAGAATTATTGGTCTACGGAATTCCATGATCAACCATACATATAGTTGATCATTTTGAAAAAAACTGGAAAGTATATAAATATATATTAAGGTTTTTTTATTTACACAAGATTCCTTCAATATAGAATTTTTTACCGATTTCAAGATTCTCTTATTAGTGACTGAAAAGTCATTGGTTTATAAAAATATGTAAACACTGTCAGATTAAATTTTTATACTGGAACATTTCACAAAATGTTGCTCTGCTAATCAAAGAGTGGATAGGTAATGCACAAGCTTGCAGGACTAAAGCATGAATTTATTACTCAAATAGAAAGATTTAACTCCTTGTATCTATTTGTAGCAAAATAATTAACAGTTAATTGCAATTTTTAAAAAAGCGTTTGTTTCTTAGATTGTAGTTAGAATGGAATCTGCTTAATATAGTTTTAGCAATGGAAGTTATCACAAAAATCAGGCCTCAAGCAATATTCTCCAAGCTGTGAACTTGACTTTGTTCTGCATTATCCTTGTGTCCATAGGAATATGCACAGAAGAATGGAAAACATGCTAGAAGAAATTATTGTTCTTTAGCATGTGACATTCTCTTAAATTAACTATCATAAGTGAATTAATTGAACTTCCGTATAAATAAAGCCTTGGACATAGGAACATTTGGTGTTAGACTAGCCATACATTTTATTTATATGAGCAATAGCATGAAATGAAATACATTTCTGCTAAATAAAATACAGAGCTGATTATTTCATTGATGATGCCTGATTATAATTTCAGATAAATCTACAACGAAAAATGAGAATCACTGGAGTTATCACACAAGGTGCAAAGAGAATTGGAAGCCCAGAATACATTAAATCATACAAAATTGCATATAGCAATGATGGCAAACTATGGACCACATACAAAGTGAAAGGTACCACTGAAGATATGGTAAGTCAATTTCATCAATATAAAAGTAATATTTTGCTTGATATAAAATATATTATTTTAAATCTATGCATTTCAATAGTATAACTTACATAAAAATAAGCTTACAGAGACATTTCTGCCTTCAGATTTTATTCTTCAATTTTATAGGTTTGTTTTTAAAAATTATTTGGACTTTTATTGGATTGTTATTCAATCTGAATATCACCTTTCTCCAGCTGTTGGCAGCTCACAATGTATTACCATAATTATCCAGTACAAACAACAACCAATGGTATCTGGTCACTACATACAGAGAGAAACAAAAATAACAAAATCACACCCAAGCGGGGGCCTATCCATCTCAACCCAAGATCTGAGAAAACAATCAGGTCTCCAAGGCTTTATAGCAGGCATGTCAAACTTGTGACGTCACGTGACATCACACAATGTATCAAGCCGGTTTTGCCATTGCCGACAATGGGGTGGGCGCAGCTTCCATGCGACCTGTCCAGCCCACGGGCCGGCAGTTTGACACCCCTGCTTTATAGAATGCCCATAGGTTGGGGGCTCTTGGAGATAACTGTAAGATTTTTTGTTTCATCCCATGTGTGACTTGCAGGTTTTTTCTTCCTTCTCAAGATTAGGTCCATTTTGTTTATTCAAGTGGCACACTAGAGTACCAGTCTCGAAATACCATACTGCTTTTTTTGTTTGTTTGTTTGTTTGTTTATATCCCATTTCTATTATTTTCACAAATAACTCAAGGTAGCGAACATATCCAACACACCTTCTTCCTCCTATTTTCCTATAAAAACAACTTAGTGAGGTGGATAGAACTGAGAGAGAGTAACGGTCCAAAGACACCCAGCTGGCTTTCATAATTTAGTATGGTTCGTTGCACAGTCAGATAGATAGACTGGATTTTTATCCATCTACTGAGTCCTGCCTAAGGACCTGGGATAGGTAGATGCTGTTGTTTGATGGTGACAAAGGTATTATTGTTAATTATTATTAAATTAATTAATAATTAACTTATTAATAGTAATAATAATTATTTTTTATTATATTGTATGTGTCCCTCAGTTTGCAAGGTCAGGTCAAGCACCCACAGATCTTTTCAGCAACATTCGATGGGCAATACACAGGAAATCAAAAATCAAGCAGTAAGGAAATAAAAGATTTAAAAATGATTGAATACAAATTAATTATAAAAACATAAAGTTTTAAAATAAATCCAAGATGCTATTTTGTACCTGCCAAATGTTAAACAACAGCTTTAGATTGTTTTAGTTGCCTGATCAATTTCTTCTTGAAGTACATATTTACACAAACTATTCTTATATGCGTAGCTGCTCCTACTGCTCGCCAGACGCTTGTGTAAAACACTTAGTGATGTTCAAATGGCTCAAATATTTCTACAGGAACAAATAGGTATCAGGGCCATTCCCCCTAATAAATTCATAGTGCTGTAGCAATTCTATCTTATTTATGTTGACAAATGATTAATCCTTTAAAATTTAACCTGACCTATATGAAGTATACCCAATTGTATTTCACTCTTAAGAGCAAGAGAAGAATACAATGCCATTCCTGTCCTGAAGCAAGAACAGAGAATAGTATATTAAAAAATATTATTAAACACAAGAATATTTGAAGAAATTGTCTCTTACTATATACAGGGTCAAATTATATAGTTTGTTTTAATGCTATTGTCACAAAACAGATTCTATAAGGAAGCAATTAATTTAAAAAATCCAGATAGGTTGCTTTTAAGTTCATTTGACTTAGTAAAAGGTAATTTGGACAGGCATGGTAACCTTGGTAGAAAGCTAAGACTCAAAACATATATAGAGGCGTACAAGTACGGTAGGATACAGGAAGTAGAAAAACAGATATTCCAGCCCTTCCCTGCATTGCCACATACATTTTTTTTATAGAACACTGACACCTACTGGCTGTTCTACTACAAGACTTTTTGTTGCTATAGAATGTGGGTCCAAAATCGCTTGTCCAGTGATTGTGCAGATAATAAAGCATCCATTTAGCATCTAAATAGTGTTTTACTTAGTAAAAATATAATGTAGATAGGTGTGTCAAGCCTAGTGAAGGCAAGGGTCAACATATATGCATGTACAAGCATAGAAGAAGAGTATAGTTACAATAAGCAGTAAGAAATATTAGTCTATATTTTCCCAAAAACTTCATATATACTTTTAGTATGACAGTGAGACTGTTATTAATGGTTGATATTGCCTGCTCCTACACCTAACAAATACTAGTAAGAGACATGGTCTGGTAAACTAGTATGAGAATAATATTGAGAGCTTTTTGGTAGGAGACAAGTGAAAGACAGTGTTGAAAGCATTCTATCATTTATATCGTACTTCCAATCAAGAATATATGTTTATGGGTTGCTAATCAGTTTTAGCATATAGTTTATCACTAAACATTGTCAAATTAAGGTAATGATAATTTTACTGATCACAATTTTCATTGGTAGGTATTAGTCAAACCAGTCAGATACAAGCATAATAAAGGGAAGTCTTGTTCAAAGATCTAAACTCCAAATCAAACACCTAGTAGAATTCAGCAAATTCTTTGAAAGCGATATTTTGAAGTATGTAGAAGTGAAAATGAACCACCATATTTGAAACAATTACAAATTCTTCTGGCATATATGGCAGCTTTAGATGTGACTCCTGTTGTGTTCCTGAATATATCTAAAGGTAATCTGAAAAAGAAGTGGTTTTGGATGTGGATGTACACACTTCTTGTTGTTGTTGTTCGTCCATCGATTTCAATGAAGACCTTGACATCTTGTGGATTATGGACCATCAACGATGTGTCCATAGGTGGCTAATAAGACCGATGTTAGCTACGTGAATTGGTAGGGGAACAAAACTGTTCAGAAAGCATTTCAAAAAGAGCTGCTTCATACATTACTAAGCATTCCAAAGTAATTCTTCTGAAGAATTTGTGAAACCTTGATATATGTGACACCTCTAAGTCTCTTGCCATTTAATTCTTCAGACTAAGAGATATTGAGTGGCCCAAAGTCAACCAGTTGACTTCACATGTAAGGCAGGACTAGAACTCACAGTCTTCTGTTTCTAACTACCATACCAAACTGCCTCTCCCTTGATGACCTGAGGACAGGATATCTGTGAGATCATCTGTCTCCAATTATCTTTGCCCATCCTATATGATCTAACAAGATTGACATTTCCAAGTCCCATCAACAAAACAATGTCCTCTTCTCGGTCATCACATCTGACTTTTGGATTTGCATTCTGCCTGAGAATTGTACAATCATGATCCTGTGGTTCTTTAGGAAGTCCCTAAAACCCTGGCTCTTGCAGGAGGCACTGAAATGGGGCAAATTGTGAATTTGTTGGAGCATTTGCATTTTAAACTTTTATCTTTTAGTACATTGTTACTTTGTGTTTCTTACCCCCTCTTGCAAGCCACTTTGAGTCACTAGTCATTTGGATCACTAAATTAAATTAATAAATTAGTAAGCACAAATCAATATTTGTGGGTTACATCTGTCATGTGTGACTAAAGCCTATTATGTGCTGTTGCAGGTGTTCCATGGAAATGTGGATAATAATACACCTTATGCAAATTCTTTCACCCCGCCAATAAAATCTCAGTATCTACGATTGTATCCTCAAGTCTGTAGAAGGCATTGTACTTTGCGAATGGAACTTCTTGGCTGTGAATTGTCAGGTCAGTATTCTTAGAATACAAATGTTTCTTTGTATTATTTGTAAATATCCAGATGTCTTATTGCGAATTTATATATGTTGATATAAAAAACATATTTTTGTAATTCTTCCATTTATCTGTTATTCTCCTACTAGAATACTTTATCATCTTATTTCAGAAAACTAATTCTGAAGTGATCATATTGTTGTTTGTCTTAATACAAGAAATACATTCAAATCCAAAATTAAACCCAAAGCAATAGAATTAAATATACAACCAGTCTGATGTAGTGGTTACGACATCAGGCTAAAAACTGGGAGGCTGTGAGTGCTATGGTAGTCCCGCCTTAGGCACAAAGCCAGCTTCCTTTCTCTCAGCCATAGGAAGGAGGCAATGGCAAACTACTTCTGAAAAACCTTACTAAGAAAACTGCAGGGACTTATCTAGGCAGTGTCCAAGAATTGGACAAAACTGAACAGAAAGGGAGGGGGGAATATAGCCAGAACTGAAAATTAAATAAAAACAAATGAAATCGCATTTATATCATAATTTTCTGCTAGTATATATTAGCCCCAGAAGCTAATGAAGAGTCAAATACAAGTTTATTGAGTTAATTAAAATGTAATTAAAACTATCATTTTGTTTATTAAAAAAAAGTTCAACAGTTTCTTTTGCTGAGATTTGATTTGATTTTGCTTTCTTGTGTAGCTTTCTTTCCTCTTCCTCATTGTGACTGTGGTCGTTTTCCTATAGAGACAGATTTTAAAGTAAATAGAAAATTGCATCCAGGATCTTTGGCATGTTAAACTGTCTTCTCATTGTACTTTCCATATATGAAAACACACATTTGAATAGGTCTTTACCAAACTGCTCTAAGAACAGTAATAGCTACTAACTAAATCCATTTCAATGATCTCATCTACTTTCAAGGTCTTTATACCTCCAAATTATCATGCATCTACCATGTTTCCCCGAAAATAAGAACTATCCTGAAAATAAACAGAAGATGTGGGCTGGCAGAGGCCACACAGGCTCCTGCTAGACCGGGCTGTTGGTGCCAGTGCCATGAGGCGAGACAATGGAATAAAATAAGACATCCACTAAAAATAAGACCTAATGCTTCTTTTGGAGATAAAAAAAAAAAAATGAGACCGGATCTTATTTTCTTTTTTTTTTTTTTTTAATTAAAAGTTTTATAAATTTTACAGAAAAAGCAAAAACAATACAAAACAAAGAACAACATATACAAAAAAGAAAAATTAAACAATACATATATAAAAAAAAAACCCCATCCCAGGCCCCTCCCAAAAACCCTCCCTTCCCCCCCCTGAGCTTCCCAGAGCAGAATATAGGCTTAAAAAATAAAAATAAAAGTTAAAATAAAAACTTTATATTTATATATATAAAAAAGATATCTATAATATATATGAAAATAAAACTTATGAAAAAGCTATATGATATTTTTGTATACCCAATCTAAATTGTATAAATTTTATCCATTTATCCCAAATAGCAAAAAACTTCTCTTGCGTTTGTTGCTTTAAGAAAGCCGAAATCTTTGCCATTTCCGCCAAATAAGCTACTTTAAAAAACCATTCCTGCAATGTAGGCAAAGATTCCTTCTTCCAATATTGTCCAACTAACAGCCTCGCGGCTGTAATCAAATTTAGCATCAATACAACCTCCTTTGTATCACAATCTGTAACAATACCTAACAAAAATAATTGTGGAGTGAATTTTACCCTCCTTCTAAAAATTCTCTGGATATTCCACCATATTTTGATCCAAAATGCTTTTATCTCTCTGCATGACCACCAAATATGATAATAAGAAGCCTCCTTATAACCACATCTCCAGCATTTGGGTTGTACGTCAGGGTACATATAAGACATTTTTTGTGGATCAAGGTGCCATCTATAAAACATTTTATAAAAATTCTCCCTTAAATTTTGTGCTTGAGTAAATTTGACATTTCTCACCCAAATAGTTTCCCAGGTGTCCAATAAGACTGGCTCACCAAAGTTCTGGGCCCATCTAATCATACAATCTTTAATTAGTTCCGTTTCTGAGTCCAATTCAACTAAAACCCCATAAATTCTCTTAATGTGGGTTTGTCTTTGATCCTTCAGTTGCTTAATAAGATTTTCATCTTCTCTAAGAAAACCACCTTACAATCCATCTTCCATCTATCTAATAGTTGCCTATATTGGAACCAAGAATAAATAAAATTTTCTTGTGTTAATTCTTCCCGTGATTTTAATTGCCAGTTTTGTCCATCCCATTTAAGTAACTGTCTATAAGACACCATATCCATTTTAACCCCTCTTTTTATTCCTTCTATCGCATGCCAAGGTATAGCCCATAATGGTACTTTAAAATCACTTTTATAATATTTTCTCCAAATCCTAAGTAAAGAAATTCTTAAAATATGAGATTTAAAAGCCCAATCTATTTTTTTATTAAATATTAAATAGGCATGCCACCCATAAAGTAAATCCCATCCCTCTAAATAAAGTATCTCAGAGTTTGTCAAATTTACCCAATCACTAATTAATGTTAAAGCCACCGCATCATAATATAATTTCAAATTTGGTACCTTGAGTCCACCCCTCTCACGAAAATCTTGCATAATTTTGAACTTAACCCTTGGTTTTTTCCCTGCCCAAATAAATTTATTGAGACCCTTCTGCCATTCATTTAAATTAATCTCATTTTTCAAAATTGGTAACATTTGAAACAAAAAAAGAAACTTAGGTAGAATATTCATTTTTATCACTGCAATTCTTCCCATAAGGGATAATTGCAGCTTTTCCCAGTTCTTCAAGTCCTTCTGTACCCTGACCCACAACCTTTCATAATTATTTTTAAATAATTTTGCATTAGAAACAGACAGCATCACCCCCAAATATTTTACCTTATTAACAATCTCAAAGCCCGTCAAGTTAACCAAAATCTGCTTCTCCTGACTCGACATATTTTTAGGTAAAATTTTAGTCTTATTTACATTAATCTTAAAACCCGAGACCAAACCATAATGGTGAATCAACTGTAATAAGTTTACTACAGAATAGTCAGGTTGCGACAAAGTAACAACCAAGTCATCCGCAAAAGCTCTCAACTTATATTCTTTTTTATTAACATATATTCCTCTAATTTCCTGAGACTCTCGAATTTTGATCAATAATATTTCTAATGTTAAAACAAACAACAATGAGACCGGATCTTATTTTCGAGGCACATAGTAGTAGGACATAGGAAGCTTACCTTTTTCATAGTGGCCCCTGCCTTGTGGAACACCCTTCCCACTAAGATTCCATGAGCATGTTGTTCGTCCATCGATTTCAATGAGGACCTTGACATCTTGTAGATTATGGGCCATCAACGATGTGTCACTCACCTATTTGTTTTCAAGTATCTTTTTAAATTTGTTTTAGGTTGTTCTGAACCTTTGGGAATGAAATCGGGACATATTCAGGATTATCAGATCACTGCTTCCAGTATCTTCAGAACACTCAATATGGATATGTTCACATGGGAACCCAGGAAAGCTCGACTAGACAAACAAGGCAAAGTTAATGCCTGGACATCAGGGCACAGTGACCAGTCTCAGTGGCTACAGGTGATAATTTTGGATTTTTGTAAAAGAGCAACAGATTAGATTAGATGTTACATTAGAGTAGAGTAGATTAGAGTAGAGTAGATTAGATTAAATTAGATTAGATTAGATTAAGATATGGGGATATTAAAGGACACAGATAAATTTATAGAGTTTACTAAAAAAAATAAAAAATAACCAAGACATACTGAATTAAAAGAATTCCAAATACTAATAGGTACACTATAAGAAGCTATGCTGATATGGACATAGACTGCACTAAGTTTTCTCCATTGAAGAGGAATAGCCCCAAGTCTAAAGAAATAGTTGGAATGCCAACAATATTACAAATCTTTCTCTTTTTTATCATTACATGTTCTTTTTAAAAAAATAAAATATAAACATTTCCCAGAAAGATACCATAAGGTTTTACTTATTTGGCTTTGAATAACAAATTCTGCTTAACATTTCCTTTAGCGGGAATTAAATTATTAGCATCCATTAGACGCTGATCCAATAGAGACGTGTTGTGAGACTGGTAGAAATAGATTTCATTAGCTTTATTTCTTCAAGACCCCCCCTATTCTCTTAGAAATGCTACAGAGCAGATAAAGGAACCGTTCTCTCAAGTATCAGAGAGAAATGCTTCCATGAAAAGAACTTCACTACAAAGAGACCAAAATATGATCTTCAGGATTTCTACTTTCCTGTCTTACTCTGCACTTTATCTATTGCAAAAAGGATCCAGTCTTTAGTGGAAGGGAAATGAAGTTTTATTTATTATTTATTTAAATATATTGGCTGCCCAACTCTAGTAGACTCTGAGTAGAATATAAAACTAGGGAAAATATAAAAAATATAAAAACTAAAAGTGAAAAGCATTGAATCATGCAGGCAGTCAAAACTAAAATAACGTAATAATAACAAAAACAACAAAGCAATACAAGACCTATTTTTAAAGCTTACCTTACAATAGATAAGCTGTCATTAACTCTGAGGGATGTTCCAGAGCAGGGGTCTTCAAACTTGGCCCTTTTATGATTTGTGGACTTCAACTCCCAGAATCCCTCAGCCAGCACAGGGATACTAGGAATTGAAGTCCACAAGTCATAAAAGGGCCAAGTTTGAAGACAGTTGTTCCAGAGGATTGGGCTGCAATAGAAAAGATAAACTTCCTAGGTCCCACAAGACAGCACTCTTTCATGAAGAAAACCCAGAGATGACTCAATCTGCTGGAACATACTATACGGGCAGCAACAGTTGGAGATAAGTACTCTTCCAAACAGGCAGGCCCTGTGCCATACAGGGGTTTATAGGTAATATCTAGCACCAGATGAGACACAAGATCAACTTCTTCCAGTTGATTATAAATGTCTAAATTGAAATCCAATTCTTTATTTGCATTTCCATAGATCTGTTATCCATATGGAGGCAGTTATGTGAATAAATGTCTGTAAATCTGGGTACTTAAATTTAATTTAAGTAAGTGTATAATCAACTTGATTGTGCTGTTAGAAGTCTATCTGAAATGAGCTGAATAATAGATAACCGCAGATGCCATCTGGAAAGTTTTTCTAACTGATTGGCTGGCTATGTCATATCATGTCACAGCGATGAAAGCATAGAGTCTGATTTTAATTAAATATTTTTGAAACACATGTATCAGATCAGATTTACTGAAGCAAATTGAATTATTCAGATGGAAATTCACAAGCGCTATAGAACTGTAATTTACTATTTGTCAAAGAGGTTGACTACTTGGACTTGATTAACAAGTTTTCAAAAAAAAAAACCTTATTCCATCTCCATACGCACATGGCACCCTGATGTTATTTACTTATTTATTTTTTATACCAAATTCTTTCCTTAGACTTATTGTTAAGGCTCTAGATCTGCATTTCTCTACCATGTTTGGTTCTAGTAAGATTGATGCAGCCCTGTGAAACTATTAAGAAGCTGTTCACATTGCTTGTTTTCAGAGTTAGGATGATTTATAGAAGTTCCTGTATAGGCTAATATGTAGAAGTGTAACAAATCACCATACAGAGGACTGTTTGACAAGTCTCTGTTCAATTTACATATTAGAATCATTGTATATGGCAATGATTTGAATCTGCTGTCGGGAGGGGAAAGGATGCTCAGCGTGAAGTCTAACTGTACCAGAAATGTGCTACTAACTCCCTGCAATCATCTCACATATAAATTATGACTTATTAACTTCTTTTATTTTTTTTTACCTGTGATTGCTAAGCATTTCAGCTGTGTGATTACTGCTTTCGCTCTGAGCTTAGGGAGAGAAGGGAAAAAGAGAAAGTAGCAATGCCACGGTGTCTTTATTATCCTATGCTGTTTAGATGCACGCAAGTCATTCCTCTACAGAGAACCAGGATGCTCCTGAACCAAATGAAAAGAGGCTGCTCATCTGCCTATAGGCTACCTTGGTTGGTCAGTTTAAAATGAAAGCTGTAGAACCAAGTGGTAGCCACATTGCATCTAGAGTAAAAACAAAGCATTTGTGGGAGAAATAAAAGAAACTGGTTCTGACTCAGAAAGCCATAAATAATTTGGGTGTATTGAAGAAAAGTCTTTTCTGCCCCCCATTCATTGGATTCACCTGAGAACCTTCTTGTAGCTATTCCCTTTCTTTAAAATGTATTTCCTGCTGAGTTGCTTAATTTAAATGGGTCCCCTAAATGTTACTTATGGTGCAATCCTAGAGTTATGACAGCTACACACACACAAAGGTCACATGACCACATTTCAGGCACTTGGCAATTGGCTTAACTTTATAACTGATAGCAGCATTCTGCAGTCATGTGACTTCAATTTATGATTTTCTTTTGCTGGTTTTCAGCCTTGTTGGCTAGTTTCTAGAAAAAAATACAGCCATAGGAATTCATTCATTTGTTTAACAGCACATAGTCACTTACTGATTACAGCATTTGCCTAATGACTGCCAGAAAAAAAGTCATAGAATTGGATCTGGCCATGTCAATGCTTTGACTTATGATTGACATGACTTATGATGGAAATTCTGAGCTCTGTTGTCGTTGTAAGTCAAGGACTACCTGTATTGTCTTTATCATTTTTTTTAAAGGCCCCTAAAATTTATCTGTTAAATAGATATTGGCATATTGATTTCAGTTGTTGATTTTAATTATTTTAGTTTTGGTTACTTTAAAGAGACAGTTTGCATAGTGGTTAAAGCAGCAGCCAAGAAACTCTCAGTTCTAGTTCTGCTTTCAGCCAGCTGAGTGACTTTGGGCCAGTTGATCTTTCTCAATTCTAGTAAGCAGGCTTTGGTAGACCATTTCTGAAATTTTGCAAAGAAAACTGCCAGGAGCTGTCCAGTCAGTTGCCAGGAGTCAACTCTAGCACAAAAAGCAAACAAATGGTCACTCCAATTTTATTTATTTATTATCTTCTTCCCTTTAGATACAACTGAATAAAAATGCATAGGCCAATTAATGTGCAAATGTTTTCCTTTATCCTGATATTATACTGTAGAAAATGAGTAACAGAAATCTAAATTCAACAGCATGATTTTCCAACTGTTTTGCTCTGGTAGGCTTAATATACTTAGATTTATGTTTAATTTCTCCACTTTAAAAAGAGACAAACCACCTCTGCATGCATATAGAAACTGAGCTTTTGTTTTTACCTGTCATTGCCTTAATGTCTCCAGCTGAAATTTAAGGGTATGTTGATTTTTTTTGTAATACATCTTTCCCATAATGAATCCTGTGGTTGCCTGTTCATGAAACCCAAGAGTTTCTCAAAGATCAGAAGAATGTTGATTCCTCTAGACAAAATAGTGCCTTTTATAGAAAGGCTGAAAGATATACTTCATTTTTGTTGACTTTGCTGAACTTCAAAACAAAACTTATACAGTACAATATACACTAGTTTCATTTGAATTGTTCCACAACTGATGATAGTGTTGGTACAGATGGGCAAGGAGCTGCAATAATAGCTCTTATCAATTCACCTAGAAATATAGGTTGTGTTTCAGATGCTCTTCTGTTGTTGACCTGGTTGCTTATATAAATTGATTCCTTTTGCATTTAGAGTCTCCTGGAAGCCAAGAAAAAATATGCCCATTTTTCTTCTGCTTCAAAGTATATAAAATCTGTCAAGGGCAGGATATGCCTATTGAAAATGAATGATCATTTGCAATTAATAAAGTTTTTTTATGTGGACTCCGAAATGTATTTGACAATGTATTTTTATTGTTTATTTTTGAAGATGAACTTAGTAACTACTAGGCCTGTGCAAATTATGCTTTAAAAGTTCCACAATATAGAACTGTAGCAAGACACTGTTTCTATTGTATAGCTCCCTAAGACTGTAGAAGTCAGTCAAGATTAGTGGCATTGCATACATGCACAGCCACCATTGTGCATGACATCTCTTCATTGAACATCCATGTCTGTATATACACACAAATACAAATCCATGGATACAGTGGGGAAGATCTTTAAAACTGTTTTGTTGAGACAGGACACATCTGCTTTAATGCATCACGGAAAGGATTATTTCTCACACCAACATCTAACATCCTTCAAACTGTCCAGGAGAAAGGCCTTCTCTGCTGTTGGACCTGCCTTGTGGAACATCTCCCCTCCCATGTGAGGTTGGCCCCAATCCTCCTCTCCTTTCATAAGGGCTTAAAGTCCTGGGTCTCCCAGTTAGTTTGTAGGCCCAATGAGGGAGCAGCACATTGGAGGTGGTTAATCAAGTAACAACAGACCCCACCTCCCACTACTCTGCCCCCAGCCTCCCACCTGTATGAGATTTTAAGGATTTTTATGGTTTTAATTTTAACACATATACCACATATACAACTATGATTGATTCCAAATGAATCCTCCTGGATGAGTTTCTTATTCTCACAAGCAAGATAGGCAAATCTTATCCCTGTCATATTGCCAGTGTTATCAGGATTTGTGTAGGAATTAGAAGATATTAGTAAGATTGTGTTGTCTGGCTGGGAGGATCCTCATTATGAGACTGCCTACTTTCTC